ATAGAATTCCACTATAATTTATCAAGCTTAGTAACTTAGATCTAGTTTAGTCTAAAAACATATAAAATTTCGATGCTGACTACAGACACACCCTACCTCCTTGAAATATTGGTTAAAAGAAGGGAATGATGTCCAAGCCTGTTAAAATGGCTGAGAAAGCTACTAGGGTAACATTCTGAGCTTCTAATTTGTTATTCATGTCTTATGTAGAAGTAACTGTATATAACAGACTGTTTCCAAAAATGGAAAGAGGTTATTGGGACCCACTGTCTTTGATTCATTACATGAGTGATATATTAGCAAAGAGAAAAGACAGATGGTTCTTATTTTATTTTCTAGCTTGTCAATATTAGTAATTTGAGCTCAGAATGCCCCCTAAAAGTTTTCTCAGCCATTTTCAAGCACGATGCAATCTCCTTTTGAAACAAGACTTCAATTAGGTAGGTTGAGTCTTTAGTCTGCTCGAAATTTCATATATTTTTAGACCGAAATACAGCTTAGTTACTAAGTTTGATAAATTATAGAGGAATTGTATGGCATTGATATAGTAATTTATGATTTTTTATGGTATATATATGTAAAACCTAAAAACAAATTTTGTTTCACATCCTCCACATCGGAAATTATAAGACTTGGCAACCTGCAGCAACAGAGTACAAAGGTTGTAACTAGAAGAGATAAAAGCTTAAGAACTTATTTGTAAAGAGTAATAATCTACATACATATATAAACACAACCAGGACAGGTTATAGGTCAGTTTTATATTATTCTATATGGTAATATGAATACATGTGCAGTGCATCATTGTGACTTCTCTACTGTTAGCGAAGCACAGCTGAAAGATCAATATAATAAAAATAAATGTATATAAATGTTTAATGTTATGAGATTTAAGCTAATTAGTCTAAACATTTATGTTTTTGTGTTATAAGTTATAGTTATTCTAGAACAAAAAAGGCATATTTATTTCCTAATTTTATTGTAGTTACAAGATCAATCAAATGGACCAAACCCATACAGAGATTCATTAATGAAAATAACAGATAAAATATAAAGTTTCTTTGTTAAGAAACATTTGGTAACTATCTGGACATTATAAAGATTTTGCATGTGAAATTTGAAGATTTTCTGAAGCATTAAAGTAATTTTGATCTTAAAATGAAAATTACTTTGCATTTTGAATAGACAACATGCGAAAAGAAAAAAGGCATGAGAAAAATATTGCTTAACAAACCTTAAGACTTAATAAAAAATCTAATATTTTGCATATGAAAGCATTGTAATGGTTACTGATATTGTGCCAAATTTCATGAACATACGCTTGCTAATTTAAAAGTTATAGCATGAAAACTATAACAAGTATAAAATGGTTACAAAGTTGGTCCTAGGGACCAAGCTCATAATAAAAACTAATATTTGTCTGAATTTCTCAAAAAGCTAAAATTTGTCTGACCCAAGAAATTTCTAAGATTTACACAGATGCTCTTTCAAACAGTCAAAAATTACAAACTGCTTCCCTTAAAAATTTTCACAACCACTACTAATTCTTCTCCCTTATTTCGTTGTCATATGACACACAAGTTGTAAACAAATTTTAACTTTCTCAATATATCTACAGGCATCTACAGTCCTGTACATGTAAGTCCAGACAGTAATCTACATTTACTTGCCCTATTGACATGTATGTTGCAAAGTTCTTTGGCTGAATGCAATAGAAACAAGTAATAAATTTTGTCAACCCCTGACAGGTGCTACGTCCACATTCTATACTTATCCTTGGGCTTTACAAGCAACATCTACTTACTTCATGCACGTGGTTATACTCATTAGAAAGAACTCATTTTATATAATAATTCAACAACAATTATTTTGAAACTGACACCAAGTTGTTGTCATTGGGTAAAAGTAACTGCCTGTAGTATTGTTGGCTGCTTTGTTCATGATAACACTTTGGTTGTTTCATACCTTAATATGATATAGTTAGAGAGACAGTTAAATTGTATTTAGGTTTTACTTTTATATTTTAGTTAATTATGCATTATTTGTGTTTTGAAATTCATATTTGAAGGGTTTAATAATTTTTATAAAATAACCAAAGCTTCACCTCACCCTGCAAAGCTTACATTACCAAGCGAGTAAAATAATATTTTGCCAGAGGCTAAAGTTTCTCTGCTGTTCATACCCTCCTATCGCCCTCGGCCACATGTTAACATAAATAATAAACAATAAAGAAAAGGAAAACAAAACATTAAAATTAAACTATTAGTGAAAAGAGGTGAAATTACACATATAACTCAAAGAAAAAATGTAAGACTATTCTTTGAAAGTAAGTACATACTTCCATTTCTTGATTTTAAACTTTTCATCGTACTGTACAATGATGATAATAGCTAGAGTTATTGATATAGTAGAGAAAATGGAAAATAAAATATAAATATTTACCTTAAAAACTTTTAATATTCATTTGGGAGGTTCTAAAGATTATGCAAATGAAATGTGAAACTACATAGTTTTGGGAAGGTTCTTGTCAAATTTCAAACAATGTCATCCACTAGTTTTATTTTTGGAACAAAATATAATGATAGTGACATAAGGTCCCTACAATATAGGGACTTAGTAATCATAGGATTATACTGACACCCTACATTCTCTCATTCTTTTTTTTTTAACTGGTAGTTTAGTATCTATAGAAAGAAAATTTGTTGTACTTTCTTTCCCTACTTTTAGGTTACCCTGTACTTTTTTTATTTATTTTAATGTTTGTTTGACCTAGGCAATTTTATAATGCACATATTACCATTTGGATTTCTTTCTTGTCTAGTTTTTGTAATTATTTGAAGCACTATCTGACAAAGGGTTTTAAAACACTTTAGTTCTTTCCATCCATCTGCTGTTGTTTATTTTTGACTAGTAATCTTTGCTGTTATTTTTTCAATTCTAATGAGCTAGACATGGGCTGGCTAGAAACTAAAATAAAAAGAAACATACTTTGATATAGAAGAGTTACAGTTTAAGTGGTGTTTTATGGATTCCATGTCCAAGGAAATCATAGGATTTGATTTTATAGTGAATTTTGATCATGATGGACTATGCTCAGTAAATCTAAAATCTGTGACAAAAAGCTCTTAGAAACTCTAAAAATCTTAATAATGTGCTTATATTTATATCTATATTTATATACAGTTGTAGATTCTTTCAAATTCATCTGGTGAAGATAATTCAATACCAAGTCCACGTAACAATAACAAATCAGTTTTATTTCCTCCTTAATATTTCTTTACAGGTTTGTACATTTTGTAGTAGACTTATGTTTACACTCATGTTATTTGCACTATACTAATGTAAAAATCAACTTACTACAGAGTAGCTTAATATGCACGATAACTATTGCAGATCCTTGCATGCAAACAAATGGACTAATTCTCTCTATTGGCTGAAAAAACAAACTCTTATTTTCTTGTTCCTTCACTAGTTTACTACAAACTTATTTAGCAAATTGACTGTCTCATCTGTATTTATAATCCAATCCTTGCTCTATATATTTTGCAACCCTCTGCATTTTCTCCTCCAGTCATATTTTAATTCAACAAGCTAACTTATCACCCATTCCCATAACGTTTTTAATTAGACTTTTATGTGACAATTTGTTAGAAGCTTTCTGAAAATACAGATGCACAATATCCACAATGTTATCTTCATCTCATAAGCAGTAATCCTTTCAGAGAATGTCAAAAGATTAGTAAGGCAACATTTTTACTGAGTGAAACCATGTTAACTATTCAATAGTTTTGATTTTTTTTAAATGACTTTGCAAAGCATCTTTTATTGAACTTTTGGAAACACTTTCTACCACTGATGTAAGACTAATACACCAAAAATTTGTATCACCCATCTTAGAAAAAAGGAGTAACATAAACCAACTTCCATATTTCTGGCATGTGTATACCATTCAAGGACTAAAATTGGAGCAAGGGGATAACATATCAAATCCCTAGCCTCCTTTAAAGTCCTAGATTGTATACCGAAACTAAAAACAAGCTACACTGGTGTAAATAAACTAAAAATAAATGTATGACATCATCAAACAATATATTTAAGGACACAATAATCAGTTTGTTTGGGGCAAATAAAAGTTTAAAATCATGTTAAATGCTGATGGAACACTGTTATAGAAATTTTAGTTACTTAAAATGAACATGTTCATCATACAGATATGTTAGACATACAGAGAAATACTTGTTTGAAATTGTAGGCATCAAAAGGCATGACGAAAGTATAACTGAAATGAACTTACATGGAACAAATACATATTTCTTTCATATCCTGACAAACTGCCATCTATAAAGATTGGTTGGTTCTCTTCTTGCTGACCATCTGAAATGAACAATATATGCAGGTTAATATATATATATCTACAATGAATATGATCCTTAAGTTTACAAAAGAAAAATAACGAAAACAAACTTCTTTTAAGAGTGTAGGCCTACTACTCTAATGTTACAGTAATTCTCTCTCTCTCTCTCTCTACATATATATATATATATTCTATTATAATACTCGCAAGTTCACTGATTTGCTTTAGAAATACAATATAGGATCAGCAAAAACTAGAAGAGCCATTGGACACCATACCACAAAGTAAAGATCAAACTATTCTTGATTCTGACTTATTGAAGGAGACTGAAAACAAAGTTGTATAAATCAACAATCTTTATTGACAAATACAAATCAAACACAGGTAAATGTTTCTGTTGTGCTCTAAATAACTAGATAGAGATGGAGAAAGACCTTTAATAAATCTCTCAACAGTTCTAGTTCCCAGTGAGCTGAGAACCAAAAAAAGTGAGAAAAGGGAGGCTAATGTGAAAGTTAAGCTATAAACACTACAAGGCTGATCTTAAATAAAAACAAATCAATTGAAAACTAACACCTCAACTGAAAATCTACCTATATCTCAACAACTCTTAACACGTCTTGAAAACAAAGAAAACACAATAATACATAAAACACACACACACACACACTCTCTCTCTAGGCACATATGCTATCCACATGACTGAAGGCCACTCTCAAACCAACAAGGGGATGACAAGCCCTTAAAATATCACCCAATTTACCATGAGAAACAATCACTGTTGCTACATATATCACATCTTACAGTAAACTTTCCTAATGGGGAACACCATAACAGCTTTGGTGACTCTCTGTCCTTTGAATAACTAAAGCCAGATAAATCTAGTAGCTCTTTTGACTGATATTTTATAGTAAAACCAACAAAAAGTACTGAAATTCTGAAAAATTTGTCTGGTAGCTGAGAGGATGGAAAACATATGGTAGCTTCACATATCAAATTGTCACTGAGTAGTAGTTTTCATACTTTACATATAACAGTCTAACTGGCATTACCATTTTAAAAACAACTTTTATTCATCTTGTCATTATTTATCTTTCCAGATGTATAGTACAAAGCAATATGGTGATATAATGTATACTGTTCAAAATAGTGCCATTTTAACATGTTAAAAAATAAGCATTTTTTCCCCCCATATATTACTGTATACTTTTAAACATTGTAATATTTGAACATGACAATAATCTTGTATATCATATATAAATCATTCAAGTTTATCAATAAACATAAAGCTGAAAATGTTTAATCTGATAACAAAATTAGTTTCTACAGAATATCTGTGTTTAATTGGTCTTACTATAATTCTTCAAGAAATACAAAACAGTAAAAGTTCTTGTACTAAGCATGGCTTTATCTTTTACGTATAGATACATAACATTCTAATGTACATTCCATGATAATGGTCCAATAAACCATGAATTTTACTGTTCTACTAGCCTGAGTGATTTATACAGTACTATTAGAAGCAAGTTTTCAGCACTAATATAATGTATTATACACCATTTGATTTCTCTGAAAAAAATTTAATAAATATTACTTTCAAAACCAATAGATAAAGCATAGTTTATGAATTATGACTTCTAATTATCAGGTTTTAAACCTTCCCAGTCATGTTATTTTGTCAAAAGAAGAAATTGTCAAAATAAAGATATAATAACACTTTCAATAATCACAGTTAAAAGTAAACTTAAGAAATAAAAACTGTTTACTCACTCTCTAAAGTAATTAACTAAAATTGCTGCATTGCAATACTTACACAAAATTTTCTATTGTAATAAAGACTGTCTAGTGTACTGCTATGAGTGTCAATTGTTTTTACACTGTTTGTACTAGAGTTTTGAAGAATGAATTCCAAGGACTCAACATACCTAAAAGTAGAGGTTCTCTACAAATTTGTTGGATTTCACACAGTTGAATGCAAAGAACATGAGACAACCATGGCAGGGGTCTCAAATTTATGATCAGTACATATGTACATGTAGTGCTGTTTTATAGTATTCAGAGATGGTTGCAAAAGCCATGACCAGTAATTGATTGAAGAAATCATTTATAATTGATCAATTTTTCCAACAAACTTAAAATACTTATGAAGAAATCACATTTTTTGTCATCAATAAATCTACACGTCCAAGGTGTAACCATTGTCATGTGGGCTCTACAATGCCTTGTTTGAGTTCAAGAATTAAAGAGCACACACAAAATACCCCATATAATCAATTAAGCTATTCTTTGTCACTATTTAAATGACTGACTTTATACCAAGGGCCAACAAGTTCATCATTCTGGGAAGTGCAGTAAATGAAAAAATGTTCCGAACTATAGGAATTTTGTTTTAAAAATGACCATTATGAAGAAATATTAGTGAATATTAGAAATTTACAACTTTAAAAATATGTCTTTTAAGTTTTCAGCATTAGATAAACCACTAATTCAGGTATAACTAATTGTCAATATTCCTCTTTTCTCTTTCTTCCCAACATAGTTTGACACAAAATTTACTTGTGGATTTTTTAAATTTAACATGTCATCTTACAAAACTAATTTTGAAACGTTTTATGAAGATTTCTTCTAAAATGCAATTTCAAGTATGTTTATGTAATGAATTTTATATGAGGAAACAGACATGTACATGAGGAACTATCCTATAGAAGCATACAAATGAACTGTTAGGTTCTAACTCCAAAAGCAGTTTTATTTCAGGATGAGCCACTAAAAGGCAGTTTAACATTTTAATGGTTTAAAAACATCCAAAGAAACAACTTTCAACCCGTTAGCAATAGTGTCATTCTAGCTGACCATCATGTGATAATTTCAAAACCAAACTTTATTGTTTTCCTCCACCAGCATCACTAAAATACTAAGATATTATCAAGATAGAGCATAATGACTTGTCAACACTAAGTAAGCACTGTCCTGAAGGTTTGTGGTGGTGAAACATCATATTAATTTTTTCAGACAGATGTTTCCACTTTTTATTCAATCCCTACATGATTCTTTTTATAAATAAACTACATGTAAATATTGAGGTAGGTTTTCCTATCAGTTACATCAACAATATATGTAAAACAGTTTATTCCTATATATTTATAATTGTACTCTCATTTCATATTTGCATAACAAAAAAAAGAGGTTCTTTAGAGCTACATATAGGTAGGAGTAAAAACATTTATACAACTATTTCATGATTTATTCTCATTACTATCACATACTATTTTCACTACAACACAATACTGTCAATAGACTTCTTCATGACATACCTAACATTAATAGTGATTATAATCTCAATTTTTTAGATGCAATATAAAAATTTAAATTAAAATGTTTTGAATTTAAGCACAACCCTTGATGCTACTAGAAGGAAATATTATTCAATTTCCAACAGAAAAAGACTATTTTTCCAAACTATTTTAGCAATCATTAAGTATCTTTTCTTCATATTACATACAAAATTTGAATGATTTATGTTACGAAAGTGAAGAAAACATGAGAATTTGTGTAACAAGATTGACATTAGGCCTACATTTTGAAGCACTCTTACCTATATATGGTGAAATTAACAATAGGTATCAATAGTTAGTGATGAACCTACTGAACTGAACAATTAATTCAAAAATATAATAACAGCAACTTTTACAGTAGGAAAGTTCTGATTTTGATAATTATAGCATTTCAACCAACAATATCACAAGTGTTACAATGTAATTCTTACTCTCAGTCTTATCTCATGATGACTTAATTATAAGTTAATACTATGGGACAAAACATTGTAATTATTAAAATCAGACCTTATGTACTGTAAAAGTTGTTACTGTATTTTTAAATTAAAAATAGGTGGTATTACTTTTTATATAACACAGGATGAAATATGTAATTATATCACAGTCATTCATCAGAGAACGATGAATATATATATATATATATATATATATATATATATATATATATATATATATATACTACTACTAACAACTCTGTTGGTTGGTACTAAACCGTACGTACTAGTTAGTTACGTTACTACGGTAAACTTAAACCCTAACTTTAACCTTTTTCCTTACC